TCTTCAAGCACAGCAGCAATATCATCAATTGCATCAGCAGTAACTTCAAAATCAGCAGTATCATGGGTAGAGTTAGCCCCTGGAGCTAGAGTACCTTCCCGGGCAGCAGCCTTCTTTTCTTGTTGTGTAGAATTTTCAACCTCAATCTCACCTTTGTTTTCCTTCTCATCATTCACCAAATTTTCCTTTGAGAGCTTTTTGCAAATAAATGGGTGGTGCCCATATTCTTTGCAATGAAAGCAAAAGTTAGGAAATGTTTCATAAACCACAAATTGTTTGACTACCTTGCGTGAAGGTAGCCGTATAGTAAATGATAGTGTTGGCGGCTTTGAAACATCGATCTCAATTACCACTCTAGCAAACTTGTGATTTGTCCTTTCTTGGGTGACTTTGTCCGTAGTGAATGGGACCCCAACCATCGAAGCAACCTCACTCATAGCATCCTCGTTCCATAATTTCATAGGTAGGTTAGGGAATTTGACCCAAATAGGAACTTTGAGGAATTCTTTATCTTCAAAAGAGAAATCCTCCGAGAGTACCTTAAGCATAAGGGATTTCCCAAAGATCGTGTAGGGCCCCTCCTTTAGCACTTGAGTTCTATCTGCTTCATTTTGAAACTTGAAAATAATCCAATCCTTGTCATGGCTCCTCACAAGACATCTCACACCCCATTTTTGTTTAAGTTCATGGATGGCCTTTAGGCCGGGGAATTTACCCATGAAAAAACCGACGAGGCAATACCCCCACATCTCAACCATAGATGGCAGCACCCTATCAGCAAAGTCCAGAGAGTTTCCTTTTGGTTGGACAAATCTCAATTTGAGCCCATGAGTGGGATCACGATTGTCTTTAAATAGAGTGCTCCATGGTTTTGGTACCATTTCAGTCTCTTTACTAGCATCTAACGAGGATTTCTCAGCCCCAGTACCTAAAGCTTTGTCCGAAACTAGCAGTCCAGAAGCTGATGGCCCCTTAACAGTAGGCTGAACTGCCGGTGCCCCAGGTTTAGGTACCAATTTCATTGCCACAGGGTTAGCAGTAGCATTGTGGACCTTTGTAGCGTAAGCAAGTGGAGCTGCAGTTTGGATAAAACTCCCATGTTTTGTCTCAACCCCAGCTTTGGTAACAGCATTTCCAGCCTGGGCTTTCTTAGCAGAAGTCCCTGCACCTGGGACAGAGGACTCAGCCTCAATAGTAGCAGCTGCAGACGAGGCAATGGCAACCTCAAGTGATGTTGTTGTCTTCTTCACATTATTCCCAGAAATTAGGGCTGGGAATTCCTCGTCCATTTCTGTTAGAAGCGCAAACCTGGAGCTGGTATTTCCTAATGTGGACGTCTCGACCTGCTTTTTTCGCACCATAGCCTGTCTGGGCAATTAACGAAGAAGAAACAGCGACCCAAATATCGGTGACCAACCGCGTGACCTCACCTCGCCCAAAAAAGAGGTGTAGAAGGTGCGGCTCAGGACGGCGAACACCAAGCACACAGTAAAACTAGGATTAATGGCCGCAGACGAAGGTATTAAAAAAAAATCTACCTGGTGGATGAACAGTGCAACAAGTTCAGAGCATGAGTTGTTGGCCAGAAATCATCGTTCCAATCGCAAATCCGAGCTCAGAAATGGACTGAGGAGAGGTTTTTGACCAAGACGCCCAGAAAAAAACGAACTCAAACCCACCCAGCTAACGAGCGCCGCAGACCATCGTTCTCTTGCGCTTCAGGCGCCGCAGACCATCGATTCCCTCAGGCACTACAGGCGCTGCTTTCAAAATATCAAGGGATGATTGCCTAATTACTAAAATAAACTGTATTTACACTCATATCTTGTTGTGTGTTCATCCGTTTGGAGCGTATTATATCTCGGTTGAAAGATATATCGGAGCTCTAAAGCTATTGTTCCTACTTCATTAACAATGCATTAATTAAAAGTTACAGATTAACGATATACTCACAAATGTTTCTGATTTCGCTCCGAACTCGTGTAGAATTTGATGCGATCATATCTTGCTCTATTTTGTGCCGTTGAAAGCGTTTAATATCTTGTTGGAAAGATCATAACGAGTTATAAAACTTGTCTTCAGGCGCTGGTTTCAAAATATCAAGGGATGATTGCCTAAGTACTAAAACACACTGTATTTACGCTAAAAGTGCTCTATTTTCGCTGAAAACGCTAAATCATAGAGATAAGGCTAAGTATTTGTGACACTCATATCTTGCTGTGTGTTTATCCGTTTGGAGCGTATTATATCTCGTTGGAAGGATAGATCGGAGCTCTAAATTTATTGTTCCAACTTCATTTACAATGCATTAATTAAAAGTTACATATTAACCATATATTCACAAATGTTTCTGATTTCACTCCAACTCGTGTAAAATTTGATGCGAACATATCTTGCTCTATTGTTTGCCGTTGAAAGCGTTTAACATCTCATTGGTACGATCTTACCTAGATCTAAAACTTGTCTTCTGGCGCTGGATTCAAAATATCAAGGGATGATTCCCTAATTACTAAAATACAGTGTATTTGCGCTAAAAGTGCTCTATTTTCGCTTAAAACGCTAAATCATAGAGATAAGGCTAAGTATTTGTGACACTCATATCTTGCTGTGTGTTTATCCGTTTGGAGCGTATTATATCTCGTTGGAAAGATTGATCGGAGCTCTAAAGCTATTGTTCCAACTTCATTTACAATGCATTAATTAAAAGTTACAGATTAACCATATATTCACAAATGTTTCTAATTTCACTCCGAACTCCTGTAGATTTAATGCGATCATATCTTGCTCTATTTTGTGCCGTTGAAAGCGTTTAATATCTCGTTGGAAAGATCTTACCATTTTCTAAAACTTGTTTGCAGGCGCTGGATTCAAAATATCAAGGGATGATTGCCTAACTACTAAAATACACTGTATTTACGCTAAAAGTGCTCTATTTTCTCTGAAAACGCTAAATCATAGAGAAGGCTAAGTATTTGTGACACTCATATCTTGCTGTGTGTTTATCCGTTTGGAGCGTATTATATCTCGTTGAAAAGATAGATCTGAGCTCTAAAGCTATTGTTCAAACTTCATTTACAATGCATTAATTAAAAGTTACATATTAACCATATATTCACAAATGTTTCTGATTTCACTCCGAACTCGTATAGAATTTGATGTGATCATATCTTGCTCTATTTTGTGCCGTTGAAAACGTCTAATATGTCGTTGGAAAGATCTTACCTAGTTCTAAAACTTGTCTTCAGGCGCTGGTTTTAAAATATCAAGGGATGATTTCCTAATTACTAAAATACACTGTATTTACGCTAAAAGTGATCTATTTTCGCTGAAAACGCTAAATCATAGATATAAGGCTAAGTATTTGTGACACTCATATCTTGCTGTGTGTTTATCCGTTTGGAGCGTATTATATCTCGTTGGAAAGATAGATCGGAGCTCTAAAGCTATTGTTCCAACTTCATTTACAATGCATTAATTAAAAGTTACAGATTAACCATATATTCACAAATGTTTTGATTTCACTCCGAACTCGTGTAGAATTTGATGCGATCATATCTTTCTCTATTTTGTGCCGTTGAAAGCGTTTAATATCTCTATGGAAAGATCTTACCGAGTTCTAAAACTTGTCTTCAGGATCTGGTTTCAAAATATCAAGGGAGCATTGCCTAATTTCTAAAATACACTGTACTTACGCTAAAAGTGCTCTATTTTCGCTGAAAACGCTAAATCATAGAGATAAGGCTAAGTATTTGTCACACTCATATCTTGCTGAGTGTTTATCCGTTTGGATCGTATTATATCTAGTTGGAAAGATATATCGGAGCTCTAAAGCTATTGTTCCAACTTCATTTACAATGCATTAATTAAAAGTTACAGGTTAACCATATATTCACAAATGTTTCTGATTTCACTCCGAACTCGTGTAGAATTTGATGCGATCATATCTTGCTCTATTTTGTGCCATTGAAAGCGTTTAATATCTCGTTGGAAAGATCTTACCGAGTTCTAAAACTTGTCTTCAGGCGCTGCTTTCAATTTGTTTGGATAAAGGGTAATTATATATATCATACAAAAGAGTTTCTGTACAAGTAAGGCAAAAAAAATGGGGGACAAAAATGGGGCTATCCCAACATGGGATATACCATAAACCTGTGGGCTATACAATCAGTCCCAAATCACACAAAATAAGGCATGTAGCCGCACCCTATCAAATGTCAAAAAGTATTAAGCTCATGAGGGTAAATACTATAGAGGATCTTATACACCATGTATTGGATCCTGGCAAAAACATCTTCCTCATGGGTCTTCTTATCATCAAATCTGGTGGCATTTCGAACTCTCCATAACCAGTAGATAGTATAAATGAATGCAATTCTGACTGCCTTGGCCTTGATCCCCGCGCCTGCATGATCCTTCCTAATCCACTTGACTGAGCTTTGCAGGGTAGACATCTCTCTAGGCATTCCAATCCATGCTCTTACTTTGCTCCAAACTATGCCTGTAAATTGAAAACCAAAGAAAATGTGTGGCGCCGTCTCCGGTTCACCCTTGCAAAATGGGCAAGTGTTAATCACATCAAGCCTACTAAGATTATCATTCGTTGCAAGGCGGTTGCGGAAGGCAAGCCATGCAATGAATGAGAACTTAGGAGGTATGTGAGCTTTCCAAATAAAGGGCATCCACACCTGTTTGGTGCCCTTGACTCTAATCAAGTGATACACTTTTGAAGAGCACAATTTCCCATTTGTAACCATCTTAGAGAGGGCTGTTTTTGTGCTCTCAAAGGAGTCATATTTTGAGACAAGGATGTCTCGGATCAGCCCCAACTTCTTAGTAAGCTGGGAGTCCCTAGTGTGTGGGGAAAATTCCTAAAATACTAAAATACAGGCGATGCTTTCAATTTTTTTTTGGATGAAAGGTAATTGTATTAACACCCAAAAATAGCATCATACAATGTGTCTAAAAATCAAAGCGGACTACCTAGGATAGAATAAACTAACCTAGATTTAAACATCCCAAACCATCAGACTAGTAAATATCGGGACAGGCCCCGAGATAATTAATTCAATACATTATTACTAATCTCAACATCATTTTTAAAAAATCTTTTCTTCCCATCCTTCCCCACACGGACTCTTAGAGTGTAGCTGACAAGTGGTTTGGGAGGTTGCAACAGCTGGTCCGGCGCGGCAGTAGCAACGGCTTCCACTTCATGAACTTGTGTCGGTGTAACTCCCATTCCAGCAGCTCTAGCAGCTACAATTGCTGCAGCAGGTTCTTCAAATGCAGCAGCTGCAACACCCTCTTTGAACACAGCAGGTAGCTCAATTTCTGCAGCAGGTTCATCACATGCAGCAGCTTCAATTGTTGCAGCAGGTTCCTCAAAAGCAGCAGCTGCAGCACCCTCTTTAAACGCTTGATTGGGAACAGCAGCAGCAACCCCTTTAAGCGCAGTAGCAGCAGGTTCTTTAAACGCAGCAGTAGCTTCTTGGGCAGATGGTACCGCAGCAGGTTCATTAAACGCAGAAATAGTTTCTTTAAATTCAGCAGTAGCTTCAAGAGCAGTTTGTACAACCGCAGCAACAGAATCTTCTTCAAGCACAGCAGCAATATCATCAATTGCATCAGCAGTAACTTCAAAATCAGCAGTATCATGGGTAGAGTTAGCCCCTGGAGCTAGAGTACCTTCCCGGGCAGCAGCCTTCTTTTCTTGTTGTGTAGAATTTTCAACCTCAATCTCACCTTTGTTTTCCTTCTCATCATTCTCCAAATTTTCCTTTGAGAGCTTTTTGCAAATAAATGGGTGGTGCCCATATTCTTTGCAATGAAAGCAAAAGTTAGGAAATGTTTCATAAACCACAAATTGTTTGACTACCTTGCGTGAAGGTAGCCGTATAGTAAATGATAGTGTTGGCGGCTTTGAAACATCGATCTCAATTACCACTCTAGCAAACTTGTGATTTGTCCTTTCTTGGGTGACTTTGTCCGTAGTGAATGGGACCCCAACCATCGAAGCAACCTCACTCATAGCATCCTCGTTCCATAATTTCATAGGTAGGTTAGGGAATTTGACCCAAATAGGAACTTTGAGGAATTCTTTATCTTCAAAAGAGAAATCCTCCGAGAGTACCTTAAGCATAAGGGATTTCCCAAAGATCGTGTAGGGCCCCTCCTTTAGCACTTGAGTTCTATCTGCTTCATTTTGAAACTTGAAAATAATCCAATCCTTGTCATGGCTCCTCACAAGACATCTCACACCCCATTTTTGTTTAAGTTCATGGATGGCCTTTAGGCCGGGGAATTTACCCGTGAAAAAACCGACGAGGCAATACCCCCACATCTCAACCATAGATGGCAGCACCCTATCAGCAAAGTCCAGAGAGTTTCCTTTTGGTTGGACAAATCTCAATTTGAGCCCATGAGTGGGATCACGATTGTCTTTAAATAGAGTGCTCCATGGTTTTGGTACCATTTCAGTCTCTTTACTAGCATCTAACGAGGATTTCTCAGCCCCAGTACCTAAAGCTTTGTCCGAAACTAGCAGTCCAGAAGCTGATGGCCCCTTAACAGTAGGCTGAACTGCCGGTGCCCCAGGTTTAGGTACCAATTTCATTGCCACAGGGTTAGCAGTAGCATTGTGGACCTTTGTAGCGTAAGCAAGTGGAGCTGCAGTTTGGATAAAACTCCCATGTTTTGTCTCAACCCCAGCTTTGGTAACAGCATTTCCAGCCTGGGCTTTCTTAGCAGAAGTCCCTGCACCTGGGACAGAGGACTCAGCCTCAATAGTAGCAGCTGCAGACGAGGCAATGGCAACCTCAAGTGATGTTGTTGTCTTCTTCACATTATTCCCAGAAATTAGGGCTGGGAATTCCTCGTCCATTTCTGTTAGAAGCGCAAACCTGGAGCTGGTATTTCCTAATGTGGACGTCTCGACCTGCTTTTTTCGCACCATAGCCTGTCTGGGCAATTAACGAAGAAGAAACAGCGACCCAAATATCGGTGACCAACCGCGTGACCTCACCTCGCCCAAAAAAGAGGTGTAGAAGGTGCGGCTCAGGACGGCGAACACCAAGCACATAGTAAAACTAGGATTAATGGCCGCAGACGAAGGTATTAAACAAAAATCTACCTGGCGGATGAACAGTGCAAAAAGTTCAGAGCATGAGTTGTTGGCCAGAAATCATCATTCCAATCGCAAATCCGAGCTCAGAAATGGACTGAGGAGAGGTTTTTGACAAAGACGCCCAGAAAAAAACGAACTCAAACCCACCCAGCTAACGAGCGCCGCAGACCATCGTTCTCTTGCGCTTCAGGCGCCGCAGACCATCGATTCCCTCAGGCACTACAGGCGCTTCTTTCAAAATATCAAGGGATGATTGCCTAATTACTAAAATAAACTGTATTTACACTCATATCTTGCTGTGTGTTCATCCGTTTGGAGCGTATTATATCTCGGTTGAAAGATATATCGGAGCTCTAAAGCTATTGTTCCTACTTCATTAACAATGCATTAATTAAAAGTTACAGATTAACGATATACTCACAAATGTTTCTGATTTCGCTCCGAACTCGTGTAGAATTTGATGCGATCATATCTTGCTCTATTTTGTGCCGTTGAAAGCGTTTAATATCTTGTTGGAAAGATCATAACGAGTTATAAAACTTGTCTTCAGGCGCTGGTTTCAAAATGTCAAGGGATGATTGCCTAAGTACTAAAACACACTGTATTTACGCTAAAAGTGCTCTATTTTCGCTGAAAACGCTAAATCATAGAGATAAGGCTAAGTATTTGTGACACTCATATCTTGCTGTGTGTTTATCCGTTTGGAGCGTATTATATCTCGTTGGAAGGATAGATCGGAGCTCTAAATTAATTGTTCCAACTTCATTTACAATGCATTAATTAAAAGTTACATATTAACCATATATTCACAAATGTTTCTGATTTCACTCCAACTCGTGTAAAATTTGATGCGAACATATCTTGCTCTATTGTTTGCCGTTGAAAGCGTTTAACATCTCATTGGTACGATCTTACCTAGATCTAAAACTTGTCTTCTGGCGCTGGATTCAAAATATCAAGGGATGATTCCCTAATTACTAAAATACAGTGTATTTGCGCTAAAAGTGCTCTATTTTCGCTTAAAACGCTAAATCATAGAGATAAGGCTAAGTATTTGTGACACTCATATCTTGCTGTGTGTTTATCCGTTTGGAGCGTATTATATCTCGTTGGAAAGATTGATCGGAGCTCTAAAGCTATTGTTCCAACTTCATTTACAATGCATTAATTAAAAGTTACAGATTAACCATATATTCACAAATGTTTCTAATTTCACTCCGAACCCCTGTAGATTTAATGCGATCATATCTTGCTCTATTTTGTGCCGTTGAAAGCGTTTAATATCTCGTTGGAAAGATCTTACCATTTTCTAAAACTTGTTTGCAGGCGCTGGATTCAAAATATCAAGGGATGATTGCCTAACTACTAAAATACACTGTATTTACGCTAAAAGTGCTCTATTTTCTCTGAAAACGCTAAATCATAGAGATAAGGCTAAGTATTTGTGACACTCATATCTTGCTGTGTGTTTATCCGTTTGGAGCGTATTATATCTCGTTGAAACGATAGATCTGAGCTCTAAAGCTATTGTTCAAACTTCATTTACAATGCATTAATTAAAAGTTACATATTAACCATATATTCACAAATGTTTCTGATTTCACTCCGAACTCGTATAGAATTTGATGTGATCATATCTTGCTCTATTTTGTGCCGTTGAAAACGTCTAATATGTCGTTGGAAAGATCTTACCTAGTTCTAAAACTTGTCTTCAGGCGCTGGTTTTAAAATATCAAGGGATGATTTCCTAATTACTAAAATACACTGTATTTACGCTAAAAGTGATCTATTTTCGCTGAAAACGCTAAATCATAGATATAAGGCTAAGTATTTGTGACACTCATATCTTGCTGTGTGTTTATCCGTTTGGAGCGTATTATATCTCGTTGGAAAGATAGATCGGAGCTCTAAAGCTATTGTTCCAACTTCATTTACAATGCATTAATTAAAAGTTACAGATTAACCATATATTCACAAATGTTTTGATTTCACTCCGAACTCGTGTAGAATTTGATGCGATCATATCTTTCTCTATTTTGTGCCGTTGAAAGCGTTTAATATCTCTATGGAAAGATCTTACCGAGTTCTAAAACTTGTCTTCAGGATCTGGTTTCAAAATATCAAGGGAGCATTGCCTAATTTCTAAAATACACTCTACTTACGCTAAAGGTGCTCTATTTTCGCTGAAAACGCTAAATCATAGAGATAAGGCTAAGTATTTGTAACACTCATATCTTGCTGAGTGTTTATCCGTTTGGATCGTATTATATCTAGTTGGAAAGATATATCGGAGCTCTAAAGCTATTGTTCCAACTTCATTTACAATGCATTAATTAAAAGTTACAGGTTAACCATATATTCACAAATGTTTCTGATTTCACTCCAAACTCGTGTAGAATTTGATGCGATCATATCTTGCTCTTTGTTGTGCCGTTGAAAGCGTTTAATATCTAGATGGAAAGATCTTACCGAGTTCTAAAACTTGTCTTCAGGATCTGGTTTCAAAATATCAAGGGAGCATTGCCTAATTTCTTAAATACACTGTACTTACGCTAAAAGTGCTCTATTTTCGCTGAAAACGCTAAATCATAGAGATAAGGCTAAGTATTTGTAACACTCATATCTTGCTGAGTGTTTATCCGTTTGGAGCGTATTATATCTAGTTGGAAAGATAGATCGGATCTCTAAAGCTATTGTTCCAACTTAATTTACAATGCATTAATTAAAAGTTACAGGTTAACCATATATTCACAAATGTTTCTGATTTCACTCCAAACTCGTGTAGAATTTGATGCGATCAAATCTTGCTCTTTGTTGTGCCGTTGAAAGCGTTTAATATATCGTTTGAAAGATCTTACCTAGTTCTAAAATTTGTCTTGAGGCGCTGGTTTCAAAAAATCAAGTGATTATTGCCTAATTACTAAAATACACTGTATTTACGCTAAAAGTGCTCTATTTTCGCTGAAAACGCTAAATCATAGAGATAAGGCTAAGTATTTGTGACACTCATATCTTTCTGTGTGTTTATCCGTTTGGAGCGTATTATATCTCGTTGGAAAGATAGATCGGAGCTCTAAAGCTATTGTTCCAACTTCATTTACAATTCATTAATTAAAAGTTACAGATTAACCATATATTCTCAAATGTTTCTGATTTCACTCCGAACTCGTGTAGAATGTGATGCGATCATATCATGCTCTATTTTAAGCTGTTGAAAGCGTATAATATCTCGTTGGAAAGATCTTACCGAGTTCTAAAACTTGTCTTCAGGCTCTGGTTTCAGAATATCAAGGTATGATTGCCTAGTTACTAAAATACACTGTATTTACGATAAAAGTGTTCTATTTTCGCCGAAAACGCTAAATCATAGAGATAAGGCTAAGTATTTGTAAAACCCATATCTTGCTGAGTGTTTATCCGTTTGGAGCGTATTATATCTAGTTGGAAAGATAGATCGGAGCTCTAAAGCTATTGTTCCAACTTCATTTACAATGCATTAATTAAAAGTTACAGGTTAACCATATATTCACAAATGTTTCTGATTTCACTCCAAACTAGTGTAGAATTTGATGCGATCATATCTTGCTCTTTGTTGTGCCGATGAAAGCGTTTAATATCTCGTTTGAAAGATCTTACCTAGTTCTAAAACTTGTCTTTAGGCGCTGGTTTCAAAAAATCAAATGATTATTGCCTAATTACTAAAATACACTGTATTTACGCTAAAAGTGCTCTATTTTCGCTGAAAACGCTAAATCATAGAGATAAGCTAAGTATTTGTGACACTCATATCTTTCTGTGTGTTTATCCGTTTGGAGCGTATTATATCTCGTTGGAAAGATAGATCGGAGCTCTAAAGCTATTGTTCCAACTTCATTTACAATGCATTAATTAAAAGTTACAGATTAACCATATATTCACAAATGTTTCTGATTTCACTCCGAACTCGTGTAGAATTTGATGCGATCATATCTTTCTCTATTTTGTGCCGTTGAAAGCGTTTAATATCTCGTTGGAAAGCTCTTACCGAGTTTTAAAACTTGTCTTCAGAATCTGGTTTAAAAATATCAAGGGAGCATTGCCTAATTACTAAAATACACTGTACTTACGCTAAAAGATCTCTATTTTCGCTGAAAACGCTAAATCATAGAGATAAGGCTAAGTATTTGTAACACTCATATCTTGCTGAGTGTTTATCAGTTTGGAGCGTATTATATCTCGTTGGAAAGATAGATCGGAGCTCTAAAGTTATTGTTCCAACTTCATTTACAATGCATTAATTAAAAGTTACAGATTAACCATATATTAACAAATGTTTCTGATTTCACTCCAAACTCGTGTAGAATTTGATGCGATCATATCTTGCTCTTTGTTGTGCCGTTGAAAGCGTTTAATATCTCGTTTGAAAGATCTTACCTAGTTCTAAAACTTGTCTTCAGGCGCTGGTTTCAAAAAATCAAGTGATTATTGCCTAATTACTAAAATACACAGTATTTACGCTAAAAGTGCTCTATTTTCCCGGAAAACGCTAAATCATAGAGATAAGGCTAAGTATTTGTGACACTCATATCTTGCTGTGTGTTTATCCGTTTGGAGCGTATTATATCTCGTTGGAAAGATAGATCGGAGTTCTAAAGCTATTGTTCTAACTTCATTTACAATGAATTAATTAAAAGTTACAGATTGACCAGATATTCACAAATGTTTCTGATTTCACTCCGAACTCGTGTAGAATTTGATGTGATCATATCTTGCTCTATTTTGTGCCATTGAAAGCATTTAATATCTCATTGGAAAGATCTTACCGAGTTCTAAAACATGTATTTGGGCGCTGGTTTCAAAATATCAAGGGATGATTGCCTAATTACTAAAGTACACTGTATTTTCGCTAAAAGTGCTCTATTTTCGCTGAAAACGCTAAATCATAGAGATAAGGCTAAGTATTTGTGACACTCATATCTTGCTGTGTGTTTATCCGTTTGGGGCGTATTATATCTCGTTGGAAAGATAGATCTGAGATCTAA